GTCGGTTTCTAGTCTTGTAGCGGGCTGACGTGAGATGGACCTAGGATATGAGAGCTTGTTCCGTTAGAAAGCACTATGGCAAATAGTTTGATTTTTCTAAAAGCACAACGACCTTTAGAATATGGCGACTAAAATGTGTGAGAAAACGACATGTTTTGTGAAAGTTTATGAGGGGTTGGGGTAGGGGGTAAGGGGGTTGTGAAAGTTTATGAGGGGTTGGGGTAGGGGGTAAGGGGGTTGTGAAAGTTTATGAGGGGTTGGGGTAGGGGGTAAGGGGGTTGTGGAAGGGGAGTAGGGTGGGGCTGTTCAGTCTCATGAAATATGTCAATGTCATGGCGTCGCTGTGTGACGTATCAATAAATGGTTGAAATAAAAACAGGTATACATTTTTTTTCATCCCATTTATTGTAATTTTTTTTTTAATTATTAAAATGGTTGCTCTTTAAACGATGTGTTGAAAACAATTCAAAGGCAAAGATAAGGCAAGACAAAAATAATAATAGGTATCGGTTGTGATGGACTTTTGGTCCAGTCGTTCTGGTAAGTGGTACTCTCTTTTTGTGTGTGCTCATCCTCTTCATCTATGACAAGGAATTGGTCCATTACGTGAACGGTGGGTCGCAAAACTTTCGGTCTCACGGCATTATCTCCGTTTGATGTCAAGACACCGTCAGTCCTCGTCACAACTGGAGCCGTCCGGCAGGTCAAACGGCTGATGGCAGGAGTTGATGAGCCAAAAGGTCGGCACCGGGTTGTCTTTGCCCTGGACGCGGGCGTGGAGGGAATACAAAAAAACACGAAATTATTAAATACTATGCGATACATAACGAAACAATGTAGTTTGTTTTATTGTAAAGGGATCAATAGACCATTTCACCATCGGTGAACGCTCCTTCTGCTTCCATGGGCCCACGTTCTGGAACCAGCTCCCCTTCCATATACGTCATAGTGAAACCTCGTCCATTTTCAAAAAGTCCCTTAAAACTCATCTGTTTAGGTCCGCCTATGACCTGTGATGCACCCTCCTTGCCCTACCTCATTACTCGTCCATTTTCAAAAAGTCCCTTAAAACTCATCTGTTTAGGTCCGCCTATGACCTGTGATGCACCCTCCTTGCCCTACCTCATTTTCTGTTTCGGGTTGATCCTGAAGTGTCAAAGTGTCCTCGTCTTATAGCCATTTTCATTGTTTCTATAGAATAGTAGTTACTATCCTAGTGTCTCATTTGTATTTACTTAGTTTACATGTTTTAACAATTGTAAAGCGCTTAGAGCTTTATGATAAGCGCTATATAAAAATGCCTAAATAAATAAATAAATAAATAAAGGGATACAGTCAACACACAAATCTACTCGAACCTTAGAGAAGATAAGACAAGGTTCTTTTATGGATCCAAAGTAATAGGATAATAGTTTCGATTACAATGTGAAATTCATTTTCAGCAAATACATGAATAACAAGAGAAAACAGTTTATTTTGAAACACAAGACACAAGAAATGTTAAATACAAAGTCGACATTGGAATTAAGATACAATGCAATAACGTAACAATAGAATAGAATAATTATTTAAACGTCCAGACCTTTTGTCCTGTCTATTGATTCAAGTTTAAAATACCTTGTTCTTATATTTTATTTTCAATAATTATTTAATAGCTTACATAACAACAACACAAAATTAACACTAAAAATGAATAACTATTACTTTAATTATTACTGCCAAAAGCGGGATTTCCAAAAAAAAAATTATAATAATAAAACGACCTTCTTTGCCATTAAAAAATGTACGAGTCTTGGAAGAATGGCAAGTTTTATAATCAGAAGATAGACGTTTGACCACTTCATGAAAAGAATCGGCGCTCACATTTGGATGTGGTATCATGGCTCCGGTCTAAATTTTTTTTTGTAAATATTTTTTTTTAATGCTACAATCTAATGTATATTTTTTCTTTAGAGAGTGAGCGAGAGAGAGAGGGGGGAGAGAAAGAAGGGGAGAGAGAGGGGGGAAAAGAGAGATAAAGAAATAAAAAAGAATAAGAGAGAGCAAGAGGGAGGGAGAAAGAGAGAGAATACTGACCTTGACCGATATCAAACCCCTGTAAGCGATTTGAAACCCGCCCGTTGCCTCCAAGATGTTGGTCGTGTCTTTGCTCATGTGAATCTTGTACGCTGGAGGAAATCAAACGCAACATTTGGAGTCAATTCATATTTTCTTTAAGCTTACATTGGGACAAAAATGACATTGTTATGCGTTAACTTTTATTTTGGGCTAAACTCATGTTTGTCATCTTATAACTTGGGCTTGAAGTTTTTCAGGTAAACCGGCATTGGTAACACTGACTTACATTTCCGATATTTACACTTTGCAATCTTGGGCCAACAAGGGGAAAAGAAAAGGGGGGGAGGGCGGAATTTTTAAAGAGCCACATCCAGCCGATGCACTGGCGCATACATTTCAATATGATGTGTCTCAACAAAAGTTCTGCATCAGATGCCATTAAAGGTGTGCCGGCTTAGTGGGAACACCTTTGTGTGCGAGATCAGTGCCAGCGGACTCTCAACATTGGATTCACCACTTTGGACTTGTGGCTTTCAACAAAGCCGTGCTGTGAACGCAGCTTATGCGCAACACAATCCCACTGAAATAAAGATCGTGATAGATGAGCATGCTTACGCTTGCCATTGGACTCCATGCGTGACGCAATGTTTACTGTGTTGCCATAGAGGCAGTACCGGGGCATCTTTTCACCAACAATACCAGCCACCACCGGACCTGCAACAATTTGTTGTATTTTTCACTGTACATTTTGGGTGAATGATTTTTTTCAATAATTTGGTCATAGAAGATTAAAATTAAACAAATTATAAATATTAGTTGCTATTTTTTACAGAGTTACAGAGGGAGAGTTCTTTCTTTTTTTTCTAAACGGTGATGACAACTTTAGAAATAGTTAGTCAATATTTAACCCCTTACATTGTACCTTGTATTTTGTTAGGTGATTTCTGTTGAATATACGAAACTGTATCGTCAAAAAGTCACCAGACAAACTTAACAAGCAATTTATTGGACTTTAGAGACAATAGTTCCAAGCAGAAATCGCCAAAATCAAATTTAATTGTAAGGGCTCCATGGTTTTAAAAATATTGATAAATTGGTCTTTAAACACACCCGAATTCAACCCTATCCTTAGCTTGAGAACCCTTGTCGTTTTAACACCATCTTTATCCACATAAGGGGCCTTCACGTCCCGGCTTACGTTGAGAAGATGTAATGCCATGAGCGCAATTTGTTGCGCATGATCGGGAATTTGCTCTGGAATTCCCGCAGCTACCATGTACGCATCACCGATTGTTTCAACCTAAGTGAAAGAATATTTGATTGTTGCGTTTTCATTGCATGTTTAAAAATTCAGAGACAATGCATTTGAAACAATAATTTACTTTGACTTGACATAATGGAAAATATATTTTTTTAAACTTTTTTTATATTTTTTTAATACTTTCTTTCACAGACGAGTTTAAACTTACTAAAAACTAGAAAATAAATTTACATTTTTTTAAAGTGAATTACGAACAAAATAAGTCTGTGCAAAATAAAATATGAGAATTTTAGGAAGCCAAGGGTTTTGAATTGAACTTAAACACAACTTAAATATGTTTCATTTTTATTGATTTTTTGAAAACATTTCCTGCACATGTTTTCTTTTTGTAATGTAAATTTAAGAAGTATTAAATACTAGACATAGCCCGTTTAACCTTACCGACAGCAATGCGTGAACTTCCCACCTGCTAAAGCTACTTGGAAAAAAAAACATGAACTCAAGTAACGCACATTTAAGAATCCCAATTTTTGCCACACCCCTTCCCCCCATGACACGTCACTTCACACTTTTTATTTCACGCCCATGAACTCTATTAAATATTTTAATGTCCCAACCGTTTTTAAACCGAATATTTTTTACACCATACTTACATTGAGGCGATTTCATTTTCCGAAAAGAAAATATATGCAGTTGCTTTATATTTTAAAAAAATGTAAGTATCACTTAGCGTAGTTATTGGAAACTATATTTAGCGCACTTTTGAAATCATTATGTAACCATACATTCTTTCAAACATTTAGAATTCTTTGTAACTAGCGAGTACCCGGCACGCTTTGCAATGCCGCTAAAAGAAAGAAATTGTTTGTGTTTTAATTATGTTTTTTAAGTTCTTTTTATATAGACAACAGTTTGTTGTTGTTTTTTTTTTTTTTTGGTTTTTGTTTTTTTTTTTTTTTTATTTTTTTTTTTTTTTTTTTTTTTTTTTTGATATTTTTTTTTTTTTTTTTTTTTTTTTTTTTGGTTGTTGTTTTTTTTTTTTGTTTCCCGTCTGCTGCGTACATGAAACAATTAGAAGGTTTTTCGACGCGTGAGCAGACTTCATACAACTGTCCGCGAAAGAAGCAAGGATTTTAAAATTTAGTCCACACGTTAAAGGAATTGACGCACCCATTCAAAAGCTTTTTTTTTTAAATTAGATTTATATAGCTCATACAATAACAACAACAAAAACGAATGTATGGCTCATTGTCCTAAACAGAATATTTTAAAATGGTTGAACTGATTCAGAAACCTATGCGGACGGGCGCACAACAACTTACCAATTTTTTTATCGCAGTCGGATGAATGGTAAACGATCGCATGAGGAAATTATATTGTTACCACTTGTATAGTAAATAAAAACGAATTTATGGGCCCCCGGCCCCAAAACTGAATATTGTACAAATGGTGGTATTAATTCAGAACCTACTTACTATGTAACATAAAAAAACTGAAATGTCGCTGTTTGTATAATTTGATTAAGTTCCATCCAACCATGCAATAGCTCTGTCTGAAAACTATACTTATGTATAGCGCCTGTATGGTGTTCTTACTTGGGCTTGGCTAATAATTTAATGTATGGAGTATTTTTGTCGTTGATTTCACATAAATATTGTGTTCTTGGACAGGGTAAGGGTTGAAAAACAAGGACGTCCATCGTCACAATGATTACCTTGTAGACGTTGTAACTGTTGAGCACCACATCGAAGCGGGTATACAGGTCGTTCAAAAAATTTAGCACCTAAAGGGAAATAATAGCGTCTCATTTAGTCATAAAATGCTTCTGATGTTTTAAATGTATTAAACAAAAATAATCTTTAAAAAAAATCAATAATTCCGTTAATGACTTTAAAATGATAAAAATGCAATTTAAAAAAAAAATGAAACTTTGATTGATTCCAACGTACAGTTCTGTGTTAAATCAATCACCAACTTGTTTAGGTACGTATTGTTATTTCTCGAATTTAAAGTTGACAACTGACAGAGACCTTTGCTTTTTGCTCGTTTTAATGTTGAAAAAGCCTCACATTATCAAGCCAAAATTTCTAATGGAGCCTGCTTTCTTGCATATACCCGATTTTTTAGATAAAACTCATTCCTTATATATTGTGTCTGTGTGGTTGGGTGTGTGGTAGTGTGTGTGTGTGATATTTAAGGCCAAACCTCCTGTGGCGAACATCTCCCACATATACTGGTGAAGCCGACGATGTCGCTGAAGAATATCGTCACGTTGGGAAAGGATTCGGCCTCAACCTTCCCTCCGGACACGAGCGCCCCCACGTACTTCCTGGGGAACGGAGAATCAGCAAAATACATACATGTGATGAGCTTACACAATTACTAACTTGAGTTTTCCATGCATCTTTCACTACTCTCTGCGTATGCTATAACAACTAGAATAAAAATGTACATACTTTAAGTCCAATAAAAAAATAATAACTTTACAACTGTATTCCAACAGCTTCCTTGTATTTATATGTTTTGTAACTGGAATATTTTAAGAGCTCGGTGTTTTTCTGAGTTTTATATATGTTCCATGATTTAAAGTTGGCATCATTTTTTCAGTACACAGGTTGTTGTTTTTTTCCAGTGGCGTCTTAAGGCGTGGGCACACTGGGCACTGGCCCCAGGGGCCCCCCGCCTCCCTGCGGTAAAGGCGGACCTGGCTTGTTCTAGATACCATCAATGAGTGTGCATCTGACCGCATCCGAATCTAACAGTTACATTAATGTCACAACGAAAACGCCCCCAACTCACTGAGGGATGACCTCACATAAGACCCGGAGGTACTTCGCTTTCTCCTCCTCCAGCCTCCTTGTCCGCTCATTGACAGTGTCCTCCAGCTGCTCACTGTAGCGTGTCATGATCTGTTCAATGTTGTCTGACAGTGACCTGGTAGTCATGAGTTCGGAAGTCGAGAAAGAACATGCAAGAATTATTCGTTTTCTTATGGTCTTCAAAATGTAAGCCAACTATATAAAATGATAACCCACCTATATAACATGACGACCCACTTATATAACACGATGACCCACCTATATAACATGCAGACCCCCTATGTAGCATGATGACCCATCTATAATTCACGATGACCCACCTACATAACACGATAACCCAACTACATAACATGACAACGCACATTCATAACGTGATGACCTACCTATATAACATGATGACCCAAATACACAGCACGATGGCCCACCCACACAACACGATGACCCACCGACATAACATGATGACCCACCTATATAACTTGACGACCCCACTCTATAACACGATGACCCACCTATATAACTTGACGACCTGACTCTATAACACGGTGTCCCACCTATATAACTTGACGACCCGACTCTATAACACGATGACCCACCTATATAACTTGACGACCCGACTCTATAACACCATGACCCACCTGCCCGACGTAAAATTCCTAATCCGCTTAATGATCGCATCGGCCGACGGCCTGTTCGCCGGAGTCTCGGCCCAGCAGTACATCATCAGCTGCACGACCTTGGCCTCGTGGTCACCATGCCTCGTACCCGTCAGGTCCCTGGCCAGGCTGTTTCAAACATTTTGAATTCAAGCAATGTCGATGCAAACCGAAGCAAACAATAATAAAGACATATCTAAAAGCCTATGAACGCTCTACGACGAACAGTAACGATAGGAATGTAAAACCCATAGTTATTTTAAAACATCAAATTATAAGGGGAACAAAAACTAGCAATAAATATAATACATTATAGACAAAAAAATTGAACCTGAATTCATTTAAAACCCTAAAACTGATTGTTATATCAGAGTTCCATGACCAACAAAGGATGCAAGTAAAAAAAAAAAAATTAAATTAAATACTACATCTGCATTTGAGAGCAGTTGAGCTTAACAAGATATGTTTATTTATCGAAGATAATGTGTCGTTTTTTTTAAAGATCTAATTTAATTTTTGAGGTGATAATCTTCCTACGGCCATATGACCCAGGGGCGTGCATCCCCAGCCGTTTGACGCACGGATGAGATTTTTGGCGAGAAAACAGTGTTGTCTTAGAAAATAATAATTTCAGTAAAAATATCATTCTGATGACTTTTGAAGCTACAGGACTAAGTCTAGCCTTAAAATCTGCTTCATTAAGCTATTTATTACCGGACGATAAGCAGTAAATAAAACCAAAGGGAAAGAAGGGGCACATCAGTCAAACGAACCTGAAAGAACTCAAGGGGATGTCGCGGCTGTCATGGGATTTCTGCAAGGACTGGTTAAAGCTGTTCCGGGTGCTGTTGACGGCCCGGGATACCGGCACGTCGGGTCGAAAGAAACGCTGGACGGTGGGGGCGGGCGTCCCTCGTGGGGAGTCTGGGGTCTTCGCGTTTTCCGGGAAAGCCGTTGTAGCGTCGTCCACCTGTTGAAGGGTCTGGGGCTTGACGGTGTTGCCCCCGCAGCACAGCCTGCAGGTGACGGGGCTGGACTTGGTGCAGTCCGTGGCTGATGGGTCGCCGGAGCTGTTGGAGGTGTGCTCGAAACTCTTGAAGCGGACCGCGGGGAGAAGGGCTTGAAGTAGAAAATCAAGAGAACTCTTTATTGGCAAAAGAGGAATACAATGATTTACACTTGAGCATTTGAATTTTGGTGAGAAAGAGGTTGAGAAGGATTTGTGTTGGAATGTGAGTTAAAGTTATAGAAAGGAATTTGGGACAGTAAAATGTAAAAAAAGAGAAGAGGGAAATGAAGCTCACATGTTTTTTTATGTGTGTTTTTTACCATTTACAGTTTTACCATTTACAGTTTTACCATTTACAGTTTTACCATTTACAGTTTTACAATTTATAGTTTTACCATATAGCTTGAACATTTCTATTTCACCATTCATATTATTTTTTTTTTTTTTTTTTTGGGTTTTGGGGTTAAGTCCCCCCTTCCCCCTCCCTTTCACAGGACTTTGCATGGAACTAGTATGCATTGCAGCAACTCGTGACGGCGTGTGTTGGTTGTTCGTTGAATGCATATCATGTTGAAAAATGAAACACACCGATACACCACGTTTTAAAATAAAACTTACCAGCATTAAGTATGAATTTGTTGCAAGCCTTTCCTCCCGCTGTTGAGCTACGAATGAAAACAGAGATTCTTCTATTTTAAATGTCTATAAATATGGCAACATATATGCCATTTTAAAGCATTTTATTACAAGTATAACAAGACTATGTTTATAGAGAGTTGTTGCAACCACCCCTCCCTATTTTTTTCTCGGTGTGATCGGCGAATATTCTTTTTAGATAAAATGTTTATTTGAACCCGGTTGATAGATTTTTTAAATTTTCTTTTCAATTCAACCACCACTGGAAATGTGAAGTATTAAAAAAAAAAATTAATAACTCTTTTACGTAATATATGAAATCTGATAGGGGTGGGGGAGGGGGTAAGCTATCCATTGTTATCCAGTAAACAGGTGTATGGATGATGGATGCAACCTGCCCCCCCCCCCTAAAAACACCTCTCACACACACAACATTTTGAAAGTTAGCTAGGCTGTAGATAGATCTATCGCTGATAGCAAAGAGACGGGTTTAGAATAAACATTTTTAATCTCAGATCTGTTGAAAATGTACCAAAAGCTCTTGAACTGTCTAATGTTACGCGTGAAAACAGCGACCCCACAAAGCTTACTTCGATTGAAGAGGTGACGCACTTCCGGAGGACGCACCCGAGGCTGTCACGTGCTCATTCACCTGGTCCTTGACCTTTCTCCTGAATATCACGTTCTGTGTCATAGAGGGTGCCTTGTTCTCCTTATCGTTCTCGTCCTCTGTGATGGTGTAGATGGAATCCCTCCGCCATAGCAACGAATCGGCGTATGAGTTCGGATCTTTCACAAAACTTATCACATCTGGAATTATTGAAAAAAACAAAAAAAAAACTCTAATATCTGAAAGGTGTCTTTGTAATGCCATTTTAATTGTTTGACAGCAAAACAAAATTCCGACTTTCTATTTCATTTCAATTTAGGTAAACGAACCTTAAAATCAATGCTTTCCTTATGGGGCCCTTATATGCATTTTTTATTATTTTATTTCATATAAATATTCTAATTTTCCACCCGCTTTCACTATTGCAGAAAACAAGAGAGAATATTACGCACCAAAGACATTCGCGAATGTCTCTTTATTAGAATCTCATTTAGCGCGGTTATCGGGAATTTCATTTCATGAAATTAGTGACATTATTTCATCTTCCCCTTGAAAAACAAGAAAAAACAACTGTTTTTGAGGAGTTCGATTTGGGGGCTGGGGCTGAAAATGTGATTGAATGTGTTGTGCAATGAGTCTATGCGCCAAGTTTCAGCTCGTTATAAAGACGGGAAGTTGATCAATTAACCGTCCGAAGAGTTTGTCCAAAACACACAAAAGCGAATTTAATCTAAAGGATTTAAAATTCAGCATTCGTTTATTTAGTTCTACTGACAACATGAATTGATCAATTTCGCGCGTATTCGTCCTAACCAACATGTCTCAATGAGACTCACTTGCGAATGACGATTGTAGATCATTATCTCAAACGGTAAATACGGATCAGCTGGAGATTGTTTGGTAATTAAAACATCCACTCAGGGGCGTAGCTAGGGTAGGTCCCCACCGGATCGGGCTTAGAATTTTGCCTCCCACTTCCACGCAAAACAAAACAAACTCTACAGTTGGTAGAAAATGCCGCCCACCCCCCCCCACCCCCTTTCCTTCCTTCCTACGCCACTGCACCCACTCTCACCCTGCCAGTTTGGCTCTGTGCTCGTCCTCAAGTGTTCATCGGTCAGGTAGGGCTTCCTTTTAAACATGATCTCGAACAGGATGATTCCATAGGAGTAGATGTCCCCCTTCTGCGACGAAAGTTGTCCATGCTGTCCGTGTTCTCGTAGATGTTCAGGTGCTGTCCACACTTGTTCTGTGGTGTACAATTTTTTTATTATTTTTTTTTTGAGATCTTGGGTTTGGATTAAACGTCACATAGATTCGAGCCCATGAAAAACAAAATGTTGCTAAATAAGAGACACTTTAGTATTATAGCTGACATATCTTAAGAAAAAAAAATGAATGCTCTTTGCGAGTGAACAGATTAGATAACACCACAAACTACGGAACTTAAAGATTGAAGAGGGGTTAAAAAAAAAGATGGAGGTTTGTTATTAAAGTCAATTTAAAGTGAGGCAGTCACGCAAAGTTGAACGACAACAAAATCGATGAAAACGGGGGGG